TCTGTTTACACGGCGTATACGTAATGCGTATACACAAGGCGAATATGAGCAGTGGCCGCGAGTACGGCATGCGTTTGCTATTGGCCCAGCACTTGGGCCTGGATGTATGCAGCCCCCATTTGTGGCCATTTCAATCACTTTGAAATCGAAATCAAAATCGGAATCGGAATCAATTCCAGATCGCAGGGAATCCGGGACTAGATCGCCTTCCCAGCTCATTCTGGGGGGAGAAAGTGGGTAGAAGGCGACCCTAATTACAGTTAATTGGTGCCTGCTGGGGGAAGAATCTGAGGGGACTTTCACGGCTGATGGGCGATGCTTATACGCACTGCGCGACAGGGCAAAAATACACAATTTTCCACTTTGTACTAATCAAGAACTCATTATCCTTCATTATGCTTTTCAAGTTGCCGTGTTGGCGACATCCTGCGACCGTCTCCTGCGACCCGCTCCCTTCTCCCGCATTCTGCTGTCGCCAGAGCAGCTGCAATTGCAATGCGTCGACGCCGGAGATGGAGAAGCACTGAGAGAAAGACTAAATCTTCTATAACTAAAATCGTATATTTTTAAGAGCTGTTTGAGTAGAGCCTTACATGTAAAAAGGATCTACCTATTGTTGAGTCTTGTATGTAAGTCATACTTTTATATTGGTTTATTTAAAAGAGACTTACTATCTCCTTTTCTCTCCGTGTGGCACCCCCTTCTATATTATCCGTTAGCTGGCTCCACGAGAGCCATCATTCATGTGGTCGGTCTGCTTTGGTTTGCCCTGCCCGGGTCCGCTTTGCTCAGCGAAAAAGGGAACCCGCAACTGCTGAGCTTAAATTATGCACAATTTTATAAATGCCACGGCAAATGTCGACACAAATACACTCGGGAGGGGAACGGGGAACTGCAAGCTGGAATGGTATGCGGGATCAAAGGATCAGGACACACATGAGCACTTAGCCGGGACGTGACTGCGGTCAGCATAAATAACAGGTCAAGGCGCTGCCTGGCCCAAGAACAAGGAGATGAATGCAGAGTCCTTCCGATTCCTTTGGAGCCTTTGAATCAGGCACCGCGACCAAGAGGGAAGATGTATTTTTCCATTTTAAAAGGGTTCCAGAGATTTCTCTTAAAAAAAATCATGTTTATTTCAAGTCAAAGTTGGTCTGAAAAATACAAAGGATATTCGTACCAATTAAAGGAAACATTTTTATTAATAATTACCAATTTCCTCATGCATCTTTCTGGCTGAAACTCAGCCTAGTCGACGCCAAGTAACTGGGCCGATACACACAGCTTAATGTGCCCTTAATGAACGCACGCCAAATGGCCAGCTCGAAGAAGAAAAAGGAGCATTGAAAGCTCGGCAGGACACCATCGGAGGGAACAACATGGAAAGCGCTAATAAAGTGCACTTGTCGCCGCCGCACCAAAGGCGAAGACCATCAACTAATGGCCGTTGGCCAGCAGTCCGACTCGGCCTAGCCCTGGTCCTTCTTCTGGCCAGGAGAGGGCCAGGGCGTGACTGTGACTGGAGTAGCCTTGTTTACTACTTGCCATAACAAGGACACAGGAGGGGGTCGTCGTCCTCGTCGGGGGGCGTTTCTAATTTCAGTCTGTGGCGCATAAATCTTGGCTCCTGACACGGAGAGAGCTCTCTTCCCCTGGCCACCCGCTGCAGTCGGTTAAAATTATTGTTATTGCTGCGCGAGTGTTTGTTAAAATTTTTGCAATTAAGTTTCCCCCTTTTTATCCCTCCCTTTTACTTGTCGTTGAGTGACCTTTTAGCAGAACGGCTGGCCCGTGACCTTTGGCCAAAGGCGGGTGGGTGGGTGGTGCTGAGGAGTACAGGTGAGCATTCAGCGCTGCCTGTTTAATGACTCCACGTAGTCGCATGTGTGAAGTGTGCGGCGTGGCACACTTCATTAAATGCGCATATAATTTGCGAGTCTCCCCGAGCTTCGAACCCTCTTTTAATTGCCCCAAAGCGGCGGGCCAAGGGTCAGGGGTCGCAGCTGGCAGCGAGGGCACCGTGGAGCAGGAACAGAAGTTCAAGTAAAGGCACTGAGGCGGAAGAGCTAACTCGTTATCTAGTATACTGAATATTCAGGGAAAGTCTCGGCTATCGATACAGCATACTAAAAGCTAATGAGCAGCAGAAGCATTTCCATTTCTCTCTATTTAATTATGTGCTAGTTCACCCCTAAACCCACTGTAGTTATGCTGGCAAATTTCCCAAACTCAGCCCACTGTGCCCAGGACTGAGCTCTCCTTTCTAACATCATCCACCTTCTTGGCTTTCTAGACCATTTTCTTGTTTGTTTTATTGCAATTGCATTACAAAGTCGCAGCTGCCGACAGGTGCGGAGGCAGGTGGCAAAGGGATGGCCCCGAAATGTTATTCATAGCTGAAGCGGAACGAACGCTTATTACACCTTTTAATTGGGAATTTATGGCAGGCCAGAGAGAAGGGAAGAGCGGTTAATTTACAGCTTTGTATGCCTTGAAGCACCACCTCGCCACGGTCTACGGTCAATTTATGTCGCCCACCCTGCGACCTTGAGGGATAAGCAAATAATCCCCTTATAATTAGCAGCAAACAGGAGGGGCAAAAACGTTGACAACAATAGTCCGCCAAGTGGTTAATGTTGAGCAAATTATTAAATTTTTGGACCCACTCCTTGGAGGGTGCACTGCGAGAAAGTGGGTTAAAATATAGTATATATATTCTTGAAGTGAATTTTTCTGGTTTTCTGGCTAAGTTCTCTTGCTTTCTTCTTTATACTTTTTATACCAAAACAGCTCAAAAATATCTCTCATTATTATTAAATATTTATTTTTTCTCAGTGTTGTTTTAGAGGGGGCGTGGCCAAGGTCTCTGGACCTAGTCGGACCATAATAAGATTAAGCAGGCAAGCGGCGTGTTAATTTATGGCCAACAAATATGCTCGACAAAACGTTTAAGCAAACCGACTTGCCCCGGGCCCCGGCCTTGCCCCCCGTCCCCCGTCCCCCAACCGCCAAAAGTCAAGGCTGACTGCCCTTGGTGGGTGGCAGGTGGCCGTACTCGCTTAGGCTCGCTTAAAAAGTTGTAAAATTTGTTAAAATACTTGAACGCGTCGAATAAAGAAAGCATGCGAAAAATTAAACGAGCGTAAATAATATAAAAGCAACGACAAATGGACAAGGCAATGGGGGTGGGTTTTTTTTGAGGGGATCCTAGGGGGGCTCAGGGGGCTAAGAACACCCAAAAGGCAGTGTAGTGTGTGGCCACACAGATAGCAGCTGCACGGGCCAAGTTTAGAGGCCGGAAAGAAGGTCGGCGGCCCCAGAAAGATTACGCGAGAAATAAAATGTTGAAGGCTCAGTTGGGACGGGGGAAAAGGGATCTGGTTGGGATGATAATTATTTTTAAAATTATACAATATACTACATAAAACAGAAGAAGCTTGTGGCAAGGACTCTGCTTGATTCTCCCTTTAATTATTAACTTTTTTCAACCAATTCAATCTACATGGCCAATCACCGTTTCTCGATTAATTCCCAATTAAGTTTTTGGCGGGGATTCCCTTTGGAGTCCTGCGCAATCAGATGGCACTCAGCCAGCGCCGAGTGCAATCAAAATGAGACGCACAAAGCCAGAGCCGCATTATCCGATGTCCCTGACATTGTTTGGACGGATTTCCTGCGCCCGTTAAGGTCCTTAATGAAAACTGTCAGACAATGACAGCGATTGCAATCGTCCAGCAAGCCGGCCCCGCCCTGTGCAATCATCCGATCGGGGATATTGTTATTAATATTTCATATATGTAAGCGGACTCATTATGAAAACATTTTATAAAATTTCGATTAAATTCGCCCAATAAAATAACGTTCAAATAATTAAGTTAATATGCCCAGACAGCGGCAAGACAACGCGGCGGGGGTCATATTTATTGGTTATTTACGGCCATTTGCATTTACATCGATTCCCAGGACCTGGTCCAGCCAAGGCGGCTACTTTCAGGTTCCTTCGCCCGCATGCATTATGTAAATTAATTTAAATGCGAAAAAACAATGCAGACGAGAGAGAAAGGCTGACAGTCTGAAATTAAATTAAATAAAACATTCGGAGAGAGAGTGTGTGGGGTCATCCATCGATAGATTGTCTTGTGTATTCAAATTTAATTACAATATAAATCAAAAGCCGTACAAAAGGATGTAACCAAGGTCTAAACCTGCTCCTCGCTGAAACCCAGAGTCACTTTGGTGGCATTTTCCACACCTGCAATAACTTAATTGCCTAGTTGACATCATTTTATGCAAAAACGATCCACATGCACTTTTAATTGCACATCATCAACAGCTCGATGGTTGAAAAAAGCGCCGCATAAATTATATATATTTCTCATATTTTTTCCACACCAGCTACTCTGCACTCTAATTCCGGCGAATTCATTTGGATGTGTCAACAAATTTGTGCGAGCTATCAAATTAAAGGCGGTTGGAATTTCCAATTCAAAAAAAGGCGACCACAGTGACACCTGGGCAGGTGGAATAATGGGGAAAAACTAGAGAGGAGAGCCAGAGTGGTAGAGGTGGAACAAAATAAAGCTTAAAATGAGTCGGGAATATACTTACCAGGGCACTAATTTAAAGTTAAAATGAATAAATTATGAACAAAAGTTGTCATATGAGTTTGGACCTCCTCAAAAGTAATTTTAGAAATTATTAAAAGCTTAAAATGAGTCAGGAATATACTTACCAGGACTTAAAAAACACTCTTTTAAAGTTAAAATCAATAAGTTCTGAATAAAAGTCGTGATATGAGCTTGAAGCTCCTCAAAAAGTAATTTTAAAAATTATTTATTTAAAATTAAGGCTAAGCTTACTCTGATATTCCTCTTTTTCTGTAAATAGAAAATTCAGATACTCCCCAAGTATCCCTTGTACTCACGCTGCCATCTCTATTTCAAATAAAATATACAGCATTTTGAGTTTTAATTTTTTTTTACACCTTTATTGAATTCATATTTTGTTTTTTTTTCTGTTTGAATCTCTCGTTTTTCGGTTCAAATTGCCTGTTTCTGACTGGGAGTGTGTGTCGTGTGTGTGTGATATTCGCACAGTTTTTGGTAATTACCTTCGTTAATTTCCTTAAACCTATGCAATTTAATCCGTAATTTTTGTTCCACACGATGGTAGGTTTCCGTTCTTTTAGCCCGTGTTTCTTTTTATCGTATTAATAGTTTCTTTTCTTTTTTATGTTTTTTATGAAGTTGCAATTGTTCAAAGTGTTTGTTCGTTGGCCTCCAATTAGGGCAACGCTCATTATTTTCCATGGAATTCATCATTTCAATTCATTTTTCTTATTTAACCACATTAAAATTGTTTGCATTTGTCGACATTGTTTATGCCTAAAATGGTATTTAACATATTTGCTTTAAAATTGTTTTTTTTTTTTATTTTGTTGCCCTTCTGTTTACGTTTTCCTATAATTAACTCTACTGCAAAAACAACCGAGTAAAAAACTGTGGGAAGGGGGTTAAAAAACAAACGAGGGGCGAACTCATCAAATAATATACACATTTCGAAACGAATACAAATACCATAAGTGGGCCAACACATCTTTAATTATCGCTTATCATTTACATATTTATATCGGTTTGTTAATTACAATATACTATATATATTCATAGGTTTTGCTTCTGTAACATGGACTTTATTTCACCTTACTTTATATATATAGAAATTGTTGTCTGCTCTGTCCGAAGAATGTTTTGGTTTCGGTTTCGGTTTCGGTTCGACATTGAATTGCATTCAATTGCTATAAACACTCAGACACCCCTCCAAGTTCTGCTTAGACTAGTGCTGGTGAGTAGATGGAGGGGAGGAAATCGATTTCTGATACAGACACTTGTACAAATGCATTGACTGGGACCCCTACCCCTTCTCCAAGGGGCCTAGTGGACAATGGATACTGATATATTGATCATTGGGGAGAGCCTCGCATTCTTTGATTTTTGGTCTTTGGTTTCGGGGACTTTTTAATTCAATCACATTTATAAAATATACCCTCTCCCGTCGCTACCTTCATAGTTATGCATACTAAGAGTACCGTCGAATATTATATTACGCTTAGTACAAAGAGAATCTAAGTGTGTTGGTTTTTTTTTTGTTTTTCTTAGAGCGAAATCGAATGTGAGTCGGGCTGGGGATGGGACAGGGTTAGACCCTTCTCTGGGGTGGGATCGCGGATCTGCTGATTCTGGTTCTGATTATTCAATATCTTCTTCTTTTGTGGGGGGGACAGTTAGAGAGTATAGAGAAGTAGAGAGAGAGAGAGAGAGAGCGATAGATAGAAAGAGAGACACTTACTTACTGAAGTCGAATTAGTAATACGCTGCTTCGGATACTGGTTAGCTATCAATGTCGATATCTTGCTTCGGTTTTGTTCCGTCAAACATACAACAATAAGTAATATCGCTTAGCCCTAAACACACGAAAGGCCCTATATACTTGGGCAGAGATTATTCTGATCTGATCTAAGTACTTATGGAGAGAGCCATAATAAAAAAAAAAACAAAAAAAACATGTACATAGGCTAATTTGCTTATATTTACACACATTTAAGTCAACAATCAATCGTTAATCCTATCTTTCTCCGGATCCGTCCGTTTTAGCTACTCCTCCGCCTCTCCTGCCCTCCTGCCCTCCTGCCCTCCATTTCCCTCCTTACATTTTACTATAGTCTTGAACTTACGCTAGTTACACATTAATAAAAAAAAAAACACACTCCGACTTGCCCCACATCTCGAGGGACTTTGCATCAAAAGTTCTGCTTCTGCTCCTGCTCCTGTTTATTTATAATATGTTTAGACACCTATATGTAGCTTATCCTTGTACTAAAGAATGTTCGAGTGTCTGTGTGTGAGTTGGAAAGTTGGAAACAAACGAGAATACTTGAAGTAGATGAATTATTACACTCGACGTTTGCCATTACCAGTCAGCCGTCGATGGAAGCAAAGTCTTGTCCGGGGGCTCTATTTACAGGGTGTGTCCGTGTCTGTCCGTGTCCTTATGTGGGGCTGCTGTGACCTCTCCAGGGTCCTTCCGTCCGAATCCATAGCTACGTTCGTTAGTTTATAGAAAAAATCCCATCCTCGGACCAAGTCGGTCTACTTAATTTAGTGATAAAAGGATAAGCTCCTCCCCGATCGTGGTCAGACCGAAAACGAGGCAACCGAAGGGGGTCGGGGATCAGATCGTGATGGGAGCCGAAAGAGAGCAGCGAACCTAAAATGCTCTTCCTGTTGGCAACTCGGCGCGGTTTCGCTCTCCGCCACGGAACTATGTCCCAGGCAACGGGCTCCTCCTTCCCCCGAATCCGAATCCTAATCCCAGTCGCTGCTCCAGGTTCATCTCCAGATTCCGCTTGCCTGGTCCTGCTGCCGTGTCCGTGTCCTTGATGCGAGTGCGGGGTTGGTGGTGGGCGGCGGCACTGCCAGAGCATCTGGCGGTCAACTGGAACAGCAGCATTGTGCCGCTCGAGAGCAACGCCAGCGAGAGCCAGGCCGAGGGCCGTAGAGCACCTGCCTTCCCGGTGGGCTCTGTGTTGCCGGTGTGCATGGCCGCCGGATGCTCACCTGTAAGGTAAGAGAAAGCGAGAGTGTTAGTAGAAGATTAAGGTCTCGGGATCAAGGCACGAACAGCAAAAGATGAGCTCCATCTAGAGTTTTCTTGGGAAAAGCATGCACTCACATCCTAGATAAATCAGTTGCCCAATAAAATATTCCTTTGACTGTTTCCAAGGACCCTTTTCCATCCCCAATATCCCCTAGAAATATTCTAGGACACTAGTTTAAGGACTAACGTTCAAAGTTCAACAAAACCCGACTCCAATTGTTGCAAAAAACTGAATTGACTGGGCGGCCAAGGACCGATAAAAAGGCAAACGGCAAGTTAATTTGGCACACTGCATTACTGTCTTGCAGATCCACCAAGGCACAGGGACTTGGGGCGGAGGATGGACTGGCTCTTACTGCCTGCTGCTGCCAGCCAGCCAGCCGACAGCTGACAGCCGACGCCTGGCAAATCCAGAAGCTTTATTGCCTATTAACTTAATTGCAGGCAATAAAAATGCTCCCTTCAAACAGAAGCTACATTCCTGCAGCTGGCATCTATGGAGATATGAGTTCTTGAATAAATTGTATTCCGCGAACTCTTGGTTTTTAAATCAGAAAGGAAAGCCATTACACGGGGCAATTATGAATATCTCCTAGCAGGTGTAACACTGCGAAACACGTGTGGAAATCGCGTGAAACCACTTCCTTGAACAAGTTCTGGCCATAACAGGAGCAGCATTCAAAAGAGCTGGCCAACTATACTTGGGGAAACTTGAGTGCTGAGAGCCATAAATTTCGGCATGAAATGCGACTGCCTCTGCTCCTCCTCCTGCTCCCGCTTGATGGGGCTTCAATTATCATGCATCGTTCGTCCTTTACGATTTCTTTGATGCCCGTCATGAGCTTTTACTTAATAACAAGCCAGTGTGCGTTGGCACTGTGGTGCTAATACACCTAATAAAAACCACTCTCTCCCTCGAATGCTGATTATCGAAGGCATATATAGTGTGCCCCTCGTAAATCGGAAAAATAGCAAACAAGATCAGGCCGAACATAAAATCCTGGGATGCTATTATTATAATTACTGGCGAATGCAGAACGAGAAGTGAAGCACAAGTATCTGCGACTTGACAAAGTTGCAAAGCGGAGCAAATGAATCCTGAATGTCACTTATGACAGTCGCCCCGTTGGGCCCTTCGAGGCTCCTTGGGAGGCGCTCCTAATTGGATTGGGGGTCGGATTGTGTGTGCTCGACCAGGACTTGGTTCAATTAATGAAAATGACTTTGATGTGCCCTGCCACCGAGTCGACTTCTGGCCGTGTGGCTAGGTGTAATGATCGCCTCAAATGGCCAGACGTCCACAAAACAGTAACAGCCAGGACCAAAAACAAATAAGTATAAGCGGCTTTGTTTCAGCTTTGATGCTGCTGGGGCGGTATTATAAATAATGCAACAGTCGAATGAGTACACTGAGAGATAAGCAGGGGTGGCTAGCTGATGGTGATGGATCTCAACCAGACTAAACTATAAAGCTTTAAGTTTAATTTGAGGAACTTTACTGGAGAAATGATTTCTTATTCATTAAATTTGAGTGTATTTCTTTCAGTGCACTCCCTTCTCCGACAACAATCACCTCAGAACCAGAGCTGGTCTCTGATTCCAGAGACTGATGACAATGAAGTGGCATCCAAAATCGAGAAACGAGGAAAGCCAAGGACTGAATTCGAGACACGCTTCCGTTGAAAATTCAATTAAATGCTGAATGCACCAGTTGCCCTTTGATTTGGCCAATCGGCGTGTTAGTTCTATGCGATAGCGAAATTATTACAGGCACTGAAATCAGCCGAAAGTCACACGAAATTTTCTGTAAATGTCACTAAGCACGATTTTACGCTCAAATGCCAAGTTAAACTAATTCTATATTGTTCCAGAGTCTCTCTGGAATATACAACTTCAAAGGCAACGAACTCAAGGCGGCATGAAATAGGACTCAGGACTCAGACTGACTTGGGTAATGACACAAAAACCAAAAAAGTAGGAAATGGAAGTGCTGCCGTCCAGCTGAAAGCTCATTTACAGCCTTAGGTATGCTTCGTTAATTAGTCCTGTTGCCAATGGTGTTTTGAATAATAAATTGTTAAGTATTCTCTTAAATATAAATATTTAAGTTAATTATAAAAAATATAAAAAACAACACCGATTTTCTGCTAAAATTGTTTCCTTTTCTTGAGTTATTTTTTTCCAGTGTTTGTCAGATATTTTTATTAAATAAACTACTTGACAGGGGGTGTGGGTATCTCCCCCAACCCTGACACTCCCCCCCTAAGCCACCCTATAAGCCCCCTTTTGGGGAATCGAACTCTGGCCCTGTGGCACTTTTGCCCGCAACGCTGAGCGCAAACAACTTGTGTTAATTACTTAAGTTTCAGCAGTTGTTCCACTTAACAAGTTGCTTCTTCTACACTGTCAGCTGCTATATGGCTGGCACTGTACGGCTATATAGCCACTGCTCTTGTCCTAGCCCTAGTTGTTGTTATTTTAGTCTAATTCCACGACGCAGTTGTATTTGTTGTAGCGTGCCGCTTACACGCCAAAGTCATTTGCGCTCAAGTTGTTAAACTTTTTGCTTTGTAAGCGCTTTTTTCCGGCCTCAGCGGAAGCGGCGAACGACGGGCGGAAAAGGCAGAAGGCGGAAAAGGCGGAAGGCGGAGGGCAGGCGGTAGGGGGGGGAGTGGGAAGAAAAGCCGGAGCAGAAATCTTCCGGCGAACTTGGCCCGGGCGAAAAGTGAGAGGCGTCTGCGGCATAAGCGAGTCAAAACTTGCGCAAATGTTGATGCCCAAAGTTTTTCCTCAACTAATTTCTTTGAAGGCGGAAATTCGAGATATTGGCTAATACTAAGCAACAAATTGAGCAGATCCAAGCGGCAGAGCCAAATAAATTATACGTTTTTTTTTTGTCGAGGACTGGCCCCCATGAATATGCTTCAGATAAATCAAGGGATTGCAAGTCATGAGCTTTGTTATAGGAAAATGGAATGTTTGAGTAATATTTATGGAAGTAAAATCATGAAAACTGATTGATTTTAAGTCTTGATAGCCTTATTGAAACATACAATTTGTACAATAACCCTTTATGCTTGATTTGAATTAAATTTCTTTTGTTTAAATTAATTTTTTTTGCAGCAAAGTTCTTGATTTCCCTTCAAACCTTTCATTTACATTGCTCATACGCACCGTTGCCGGTTAATTGCTGGTCGCCCCTGGCTATTTTCCTTGCACCACCCCCTGGAAAGTTTCCAGGCCACTTAAAAGCCTCCCCCCTGCCTCTATAACTTTCCCTTCCACCTCCCAGCGCTATCACTAGGAGCTTTTAGAAAAAGTTGTCGTCAATCACTGGACGCGCTCGTCTGTCAAATAAAGCCAAACAAGCTTAGTTGACTTTTGGGCGCCGCACATTTGTCTTCCTGTTCCAGGACATCTCAGCCCCCAAGTGACCCGCTTGCTGCTTCGGCCTTTAGCTACTACACTGAGGGAAAAGTGTGAACTGTAAACAAACCTATAACAAAAGTATAACAATTCAAAACAAGTACTTATTTCAAAATCAAAACCCGAAAGTTTTTTTCGAACTAAAAAAATATATAAAATAATTATCCACATCTACTATATTTTTTAATATAAAAAGCAGTTCCTCAAGTATAATAAATAATAAATACCCAAAAATTATTAAGTTATAAAATTCAACTCGAAATCAATTTATTTCAGTGCATTCAGCCACCCCACACAAACCTAAAAACGTGCCCAACGAGGCGACAACACTCATATTTAGGGAATGTAGGAGGCGCTTTGCATACCGGGCTACTCACCATCGACGATGTGCACGCGCACCGTGGCGGGATTGGCGTTGGAGGGGGTGCATGTGTAGACACCCGAGTCCTGGGCTATGGCCTTCTGCACCAGGAGCCGGCTGGTGGTCAGCACACCTTTCTCGGTGACTAATGATATGCCGCCGCGAGGTGAATCGAAATTTATGATCTGAAATAAATAACGGTGAACACAAGCAGCTTAGTGCCAGGACACAACTTTTTTTTTCGGTCGGTCAGGATTCTGGGAGTATGATAGTTAAATTTTTATTAATGACAGCATGTTAGTCACGGACTCTGACTCTGACTCTGACTCTGGCTGGGCAGCTTAGTTTCCTTATTTTGCCAGGAATTTAAATATAGAAACTCTTGACACTTGGCACAATGAAAGCACAGGATACACACAGGATACTTGTATTGTTATTTTTAAAAGCTTAACAAAATGTTCTTAAATCGAACTATTTTTAAATGATTTTAAGTAGTATATTCACTTAGTATTTATCCGAGATAATCTTTAATTAAACCAAAGTCTACCTAGTAAATACCCTAGACTCACTCCTAAAGCATGTCTTGTCTCAGGTAAGAGAACCGTAAATAGATATACCACCTGTCGATCCGAATTCAATTAAAGTTAAAGCCAAATGTCAGATTGTGACAGTTTACGGAGCAAGCAATTACGAAAATGTATGAACAAAGACTGCCCTCCTCTCAAGGGTAGTTCTTAGTTTGTACTTTTGCACACAATATAATCGCTGGCATTATGGAAGGAACCCTTGTCAGGCGTAATTATTGATGCGGCTATCCAGACCACATTATATAGCTTCTCATTGGGTCTGTGCGGGTATATATATTAGTCAGACAGAGTCGGGCACATGTCAAGTGGTTGTTCGTTGCGGTTTCGCGGTGTTTCTTTGGTTTCTTTGGCATTTCCTTTCCTTTTCCTTTTCAACTCACCTGACGCTCGTGGGACCAGATGACGGTGGGCGGCGGCTCCGGGGCGAACTTCACAATGCAGGTCAGATTGATGGTGGATCCACGGTTGATGTGCAGCTCGCCGCCGCCAACGATTTCGGTGACGGGCTCTGGAAGGACACAAGGAAAGGACGAAGGCTGGTTTGAGTACGGCAAAAGCCAAAATCATTGCATAAGCTGCGGTACACACACAAAAAAGGCGCATAAAACATTTTGAAAGCTCATTTCAGTTAAGCCCAACCAACAATAAAAGTAAAAAACAAAGCGAACACTGGGATAGAGGGGGAGGGGAATGGAGATGGAGGGCAAAGGGCCAAGGACACTCAGAGTCGTCCTGAGCCTGTTTAAGCAAATTTATCTACCGTTGCGTTAAATTGTTTTCTTTCCTGCTGCGTAACCAGAGCGTATGTACTATAGTAACCCTCGGAGTGCCCCCGAAGACCCCAGGAAACCCCCATCAACCCGTCAGGCCCACCAGGAGAGTGAGTGTGTGTATTTGATATTTCCACGTTTGTTTACTTTCTTATTCAACGTAAAATAAAGAAAGCGCTGCGGCTGAAGAATAAGGATGGCAAAAAGCGATGCAGAGAGAGGCCGGGGGAACTGGGGGGGGAACAACGAAAATCTCAAATTCAAATGCTAGGCCAAAGTCAACAACAAATTGTGTCATTAGTTCAAGGACATTGATTGAAATGTCGGTTGGCCGTAACTAAAATTGGAAATTTTCAACATTACCGCTGCCCCCGCAGACACTTGGACGGACACTTGGCTTTCTCCTTGTTGTGGGAAAGTAACCAGAGACTGAGAGAAAAGCTTGATCTTAAGGGATATATAAAATATATATAGAAATACAATAAAAAAAGGATATCGGAACTAAATGTATAAATTGTCTAAGCTTAGCTTGAATTATAAATTAAATTGCAAGTAAGTGTAAACCTCAGATTCCTTAGCAAATCATAAGTTTAAATTACTTTCTTGCTCTTCCAAATTCCTACCAAATGCAAAGTAACCAATTTCTGACCGTGTCTTTGCCTTCTGTGCTCTTGTTCAATGCTAATAAATTGGGATTTCTTTGCTATGGCCTTCCGCCTTCCGCCCTCCGACCCCCTTGTGCTCCTCCTTTCTTCTTCTTGGCTCCAAAGCCCACGCTCAGCCATTTTGTGGAAGAAGCAAAATGGCTGCTTTAGCGCTTCCGCTTCTTCAACAACTTTCGTCAGTTTAAGACTTTCATCTGTGGGAAGTGAGTGTGCGCTGTGTGCGCTGTGTGTGTGTGTGTGTGTGTGTGCGGTGTCTGGGTGTGTCTCTGAAACTGCAGTTACTGTAGTCGGCTAACGGTAATGTGCTCTCATGGCAGAAAACGCCGCTAAAGGTTAGTGAAAGTTATGTACTGGCAAATGGCTACCACTCGAAGGGATGCGGTGCGAGGGCGGGGGGCAGGGGGCTGGAGTCCTTCGGGTTATGCCCCATTTTCTTATGCAACCTACTCGTATCTCTCAATCTCCATTTGAAGTTCTTTATGCCTCGCAGTTATCTAGCCGCTCTCGCTCCGCCGGCTCTACGTGGCCCATTTGCCGCAGATTTGATCTCTGGCAACTCGGTCAACCTGATGTGCAATGGCGAATAATCTGGAACTGAACCTCTTCTCCAAAAAAGTTTTCCAGCTCATTTTTTGCACAGGGATTTCAAGGAAAGTGTCGTTTTTTGGAGAATAGTCGCAAGAAAGTATAAAGACATAAAGGAAACCCTGGCTAAAACTAATCAAGGAGCTGTATGTTTTTGCTAAAAATCTAACAATATAAATCTAAAGACTTGAAATATATATAATTTGCTTAGATATTTGGCATAACTGCTCACAGAATGTGGCCAACTAATATGACATAAATATTACGTATACGCCACCGGGGATCAGCTGGAAATCACGAAACGCCTTCAGGGTGGTCGCTGTGCGTGTGCGTGTGGACGCCGCATTTTGAAGATGAGAAATGAAGGAAGTTTATTATTTATGCCATTCATGCGACAGACCATTCAAATAACCCGCAGTCCCAGGAGGTACATATCTGTGACCTTTTTTCTGCCCCCCTCACTTTTAATTTGGCCAGGATACAGGGCATACAGTCGGGTCAGGCGCTCCTGGGAGCCTTCCTAGCCGATTATCTTGGCTGATTTTTAGTTTTATGTGCCTGGCCGACCCAATTACCCACCAAATCGGTCGGAGACGGATATTAACCCTATGGAGCTGTGACCAATTGCGTGAATACAGCAGCTTTAGTTTGCACTTGAAACAAATTAAAGGTCCCTGTTTAGAATGCTCTCTCTCAGTGATGTTATTTCAAACACCGCTTCGAGTGCGTGACTCAAAGGGAGTCTCTCGATAATCACCATAATTGGGAGCCGTCTCTGGGATGTGTAAGCGGCGCTTATGAATGATTCATGACTCCTTATCTCGGCATCGCCACTCCAGGACACCGCCTCGCACATTCCGTTTCAACTGGGCCTTATCGAATTAGTTGCTGCATTTGCGCCTTGCACTTTGATTAATCGCCATGTCAACATTTGAGCCTAATTTGCAACTTTTATGCCGGGCTTTCGAATGTGATTTATGGCCAAAGGACAGCCCCGAAACACACACACACACATACTACATATGTATGTGTGTATGGGGGATAATATCGTACAGAAACACACCGAAAACAACCCCCAGATGTAAATGCCGCAATGTGTTGCCGCCTTTGTGCTGTAAATCAAACAATAAATTTCAATAAAAATACAAATAAAAGCTATCAAACGTGTATATGTTCCCAAAAAAAAAAAAAAAAAAAGAAGGAATATAATCATTTACGAAGGCTGTTGCCGTCGCCTTTCCGCCCTTTTCGATTTTGGGTTGTTTACAAGCCGATTTTTAATAGGTCTAGGACTCCCTTAAAGAGTTTTTTATTTCCCGAATCCAATGTGACATTTGAGTACATATATATCATCCTTTGAGGGACATATGTCATTACGATCAGCAGAGACCTGGGCAGAAACACTCTAGGTGACTGGTTTTGTATGCTGACTGAAGGAAGCCTAAAACTATATTTTACATATATTAAATATAAATAATTATGGCTTTGTTTTGAAATTTAAATATACATATTATAAGGCTTTCTTAGCCTTAATTCCTTTAAAAATGCTACTAAATATACATTACTTTTTGTAAAATTAATCCCTGACTTACAAATTCCCAGAGTTTACTTAACAGAAACAAGCTATTCGTAATAATATTGCCCCGATAATCTCTATACTATTGTGTTTTGTTGTGTGTGTTTTTTATATGCTTTCTTTCCCGCCGTAAAGGTTAACATAATGCCACCTATAACATCACACAAGCACCCAGTTAAATGGTCTCCCTCTGCCTGCTTGCCTGCCTGCCTGCCTTCCAAAAACTGAAACTGAGAGCAAAGCTGAGGCTCGGGAATGGCAAAGGCTTACACGCTCATAAACCTTTATGCGTTTTCAATTGAATTGTCCCGAAGTTCAGGCCCAGGGACCAGGGACGACCTTCATCTTTTCGCTGGTTGTGGGCAATAAAATTTGTTGCCGTTGTCGCCATTGTTCTACGAGGCGCGATTTAATGATATCGTCAACGTACGTAGACACTTTTTCGGGAGACAAGGCAGACCATAATATACACACGAAGAACTTCTTCCTGAGAGCGAGCTCGTTCCCTTAAGAATAACTTTAAGCCATACGATTCCTGGGTTTATTTCTTAATTATAATCACTCTGTTTCGGTTTGTGACCTTTTAAGCCAATTAGTGGGCCCGCGGGGCGGGTTACTTTGAAGTTCTGGCCAATTGAAATGGCAAATCGGTCCCCCGGCCCGGGCGCAACAAGCGCCTCTCCGGCGGAATGGGGCGGAACAATGGGCCAGCAGGACAATGACGTGGCAGGATATGGTTCATGGCACGTACACGGTTCATCGATTCAATAGTTGATTGGGCGACGGCTTATGAACTTGCTGGCGACACACACGCATATATAAATGAGAATGCCAAATGCGAATGCCAAATGCGAGTGGCGGGTGGTGAAATCGACTTTTGACTCCGCCTGTCCGAGCGAACAATCGGGACAAAAGGCGGTGCAGTTCGGTCCGGTCCGGTCCGGTCCTGGCAAACAGCTTGCAGTTGACAGGATGCAAAGTCCGAATCTGTCAGCAGTGCATTATATATTCAATATGCACCGCAAACGCCCAAACACAATGCATATTATATGGCGCTGGACAGGTCGACGGTACTCAATTCGATTCGATTCGATTCGATTCGATGGGATTCGATGGGATTCGTGCGAGTAGCTGGCGGCAAAATCATTGCACATTTAATACTCATTGAGATCGTGAATTGTTTCGCAGTTTAAGCCTGTCCTTGTGTCGAGCCTAATATTTCCGTTGCCATTTCCCAGGACTTTCTCGCTAAGAGGATTTTGCAAAGCCTAAAACTAACAATAAACGAAAGTGTTGAGAGTGGAAATACGTATATCTTGCTGCCATAAATTTCTCAAATCCCATTCATATTTTTCCCTATGCTAAACCTTAAAGGGTCGCCAAGAGAAGGGCTTTAAGAGCAAGCTGCTCCTGCATATCCTCAGCGTATTGTGTCTATTAGTTGACGTCTGCCAGGACACTAACCCATTCCATCTGCCATCCTGCGTTCACACTAATATTCAATGCCTGGCTTGTCCAGGAAATTGACTTGAATTATTTGGCTTTCGGCATATCGCATGTCGCACCGCACAAAACCAATAACTTTTGCCGATTCCTGAAGGTCCTGCGCCACCCGATTTCATGGCTGTCGCCGTTGACAAATGCTGAAAACGAAAACGAAAACGAACCCTCCTCCTCGTCCTGCCATAGACGACAGACGAGCATACGGACGGACGCACTTTATTTGCTGGCATTTGGCAAAACAAGGACGACGATTGTTAACGTTTGCCCCTCGCTATTAACTAACACCACGAGCAGGAGCAGCAGGACGAGCGAGAGTTCAGAGGCACTCGAAAAAACTAAAGACTAAACTCTAAATATTACATTTCTATAGTAATCTTGTAAATGTTCTCAAACCTTTATTTCCAGTTGATTTATATTTCTCCAAAACCAAATTAAAATGTATTCTTCTTTAGCAAACATTAAATATTTTCTCTCAGTGCCTGAGTTCGAACCAAAAGCCAAAACCTGAATCCGAATTAGAATCAGAGTCTCAAACTGGGCAGGAAATTCGCCGGTTCTCAGACAAACAACCGCAAATGTATTTGTGCAGTTCCCCACGCCCCCAGGATGCCAGCTCCTTCACTAGTTCCCAGCTCTGGCCCTGCTCCTCGTGTCCTGTAACCCCTATCCGTGTCCATATCCATATCCACCGCCTCAACCACCCTCTCTATCCTGTACACAGTAGACACCCCACTCGAACCCCGGAGGCAAAGTGTTGAAAGTGGAATTATGTGTGTTTGTGTTGACATTATAATAATGGTTTGGTTTATGTTTATAGTCTGCCTCATGCAACCGTACACATGTTCGTCCTTTCGTCCTTCTTCTCCCTACTCCGATTCCGATTCTGATTCCGATTCCGAGACCCGCTCCCTACGCAACTTCTGCCCCCGAGTCCTCGTCTCTGACTCGGTGTGTGCGTCTGTGTGCTTTGCTTTCTATTCAAATATTGTGACAGTGTGAAAAATAAACAAATTTGCATTATTTATTTTCATATTTGTTTGCTGTTGGCCCTGGCCACGTCCCGTCTCCCGTGCGAGTGTGAGTGAGTGCTTTGCTACGCGTTTTCCCAAGCAGGCGTCGTCCGTAATTTTTCCAACAATTAATAAAATAAATTATGCATTGAAAAGCGTCGGCAGGGGACATTTTTATTTAAATATGATATCTTGAGAGGAGCAGGGGGAAAAATATAAATAAATATGAGTTGGGAAAGTTGAAAAAATGCGGGGACGACTCCAAATTTTGGTCTCTTGAGCCGGATACTTATGAGGCTTTCTTCCTGTAAAAAACTATTGGCAGGAAGATAGCCTTTATCCTTCTTGACACTTCTCCCAAGCTAACCGCAGCTGCGGCCTGGCCAAAGTAAATCTAAAATACGCAAAAGATTGTGTGTCGTGTCATTAGTTTGCGGCGCCTGAAAGAAGGCAACGCTTCCTGGCGCTGCCATTGCTTTTGCCGCATCTCCGAGTCGCCTAAGATGTGATTTATGAGCCGAGGCAGCCACTCCTCCGCCGCCTCAGTCCTGGATCTCAGATCATCATGTGGTGTGTTCTCGGAGGGAGGGAAGCACGAGGAACCAGGCACGGCGGCCTGTGAAAAGCCATAAAGTGCAAATGTTGCCCAGGGGAATCATCAAACAGCAAAAAGCTGCCATAAAACGACACAAACATGTGCGCAACACCAACGCGGCGTGGATGGAATGGGTGCGGGTGCGGATGCGGATGCGGATGGATGCGGATGTGGATGGGGATGGGAGGTGGCTGAAATGGAGACCCGGAAATAGATACGCCATCAAGTGGTCAACAGACGGAGCAGGACCAAGAGCAGGGCGCCTGCCGCCAGATTAGATATCAGTGTAAACATCAAAGTAGTTGGCAAATCACTCACACGTAGCCAACTAAAAGTTCCTGCTTCAGCTTCAGTTTCAGCGATGAACCGACCAAGGCGATCGGAGGGGAGGAGGGATGTCGTGTGCCCGGCATACAAATTGGCAGCGGAACGACTCGCTTTATTAACTCTGGGATTGGGGGTGTGTGTCTGTGCGGGAATTAATACCATAATGGGGACAGCTAAAAGGGATGCGACACACTGGCTTTCCTGAACGCCAACTGGGCTGGCAAGTCGTGTCGAAATACTTCTCGGCAATAAAACTTCCAGGACTGCCGCCTCTTATTAGATACTAGGTGCCAGGTGATACCCGATGCTCTGGAAAAGAAGGCTCTACTCACCCACAATGTTGAGATAGACGGAGTGACCGATCGGTGGCGTGGTCGATATCTGGCACTCGTAGATGCCAGAGTCCTTGCGCTGCGCATAGCGGATCCTTAGGGTCCAGTCCTCGGCGTGGGGCGAGTGCATGGCCTCAAAGCGCTGGTCAGAGGTGTACGTGTAGCGTCCCACTGTCAGCAGGTGTATGTCCCTATGCCGCACCCAAGACACCTGCGAAAGAGAGAGAGGGGAAGGAGCACTTAGTCGTGGTTCTACGTTAGGTGAGAAGCCCCAAAGTGAGGCCCCAACTGACTTTTGGGCTGCCTAATTGCGCGTTTACTCATCGATTTGACTCATCTGTGACTCGGTGAGGGTGTGTGTGTGTGGCTTGGGTGTGGCTGAGACCCGGCCTGTGGCTCGATTACGGAACACACAGCTCACACGCACAGGGGCAATTACAGCCGGAGACTGTCTGCCGTACAATACACAATTTAAATGGCAAATTGAAATCGAATGTGGCTGCAACACTGAGCGAAAACTAAAGCTTATGCAAATCCTAATTAAATTTAATCAGGAAAGAGCTGAAAAGTCTATAAAATAAAACCCAACTTAAAGCTTGCTTTTATTTTTCCCAATTTCCCCAACACTTTGCCACAATTTCTCCCCGTGCTACTGCCCAACTGCGACTAAGCCCATGGCAACTTTTTGCCTTTTGAGCGGCTGCCCCGCATTGGACCCGGCCAAAGGCACGATCTTTGAGCCAGGCCCTGCCACTCCACTGCTGGCCATGGCTCTTAACTGTTGGCCATAATTACGCGGCGCTTAATTCGCTGGCTGGCCCTGGGAGTGGAATGAGGGCACGCCCGTGACAAATCAACAAACGCATCGTATTTGGTGTCCGGGAAAAAGAATTCCGGGGTTTCGGCACGTTGACATCGCCGCCCGTGGTCTGCGGCAATGGCAACGCGAAACAATGCCCTGGTGCGGGCTGCCATTCAGGATTTGGGATTTTGGATTCGAATTCGGGTTGAGTATTCGAGTATTCAGGATTCCGAGTCCGACTCCCGGTCCCTTGGTTGGTGTTGACTGTGGACAGTGTCCCACTGCCCTCATATATGCGCAGGGGCGTCCTCTGCCGTCTGGGACTTTTCCATCTGGCCTGGCTTTTGCATGTTTAAATGCAAATTGGAATCGAACATTTCGGCTGATTGGCAAATGGAGCGTTGCCAGCAGACGTCTCCCACTACTAATCGCCCTTTTACCCGGCGCATTTTCAGATTTCCTGTAGGGATAGGCACACATAAACACTGGGCAAAAATAGACAAAAGACGAGCTTTTGACTATATGGTATGTTATGCATACCACTAACAGGAGGTATTATCTCAAAGGATTAAGGGTTTATTATTTTTATTAAAAATATTTTTCTATCTTGCTTTGGGTACCTGTAAAAGAAGGTAAACGTTAAGTAGAGTTGTAATCACAAACTTTGAAAATAAATGGACTTTTGGGAGAAGGAACTTGGCCAGATTGAATCGGCTGCTGCTCAACACAGTATAAGGAATCTAAGCTAGAGTGAATCGATGTGGGACAAAATGTTAATTGTTTAACTCTTATACCGTCAATGGCAACAAGCTAGAGTCTCTTTATTGATAGTCAATAATAAAATGCAGGATATATACCCTTACGGGGTATTATAAATTCAGCCTGAAGCTTGCAACGCAGCTTAAGCATTAACAGGAGAGACAAGGGTATATAAACTTTGGCTTCATTTCTTCTTAAAACAATACAGAATTACATATATTTATTTCGTATTCAAACCCATAAAGTATTCATTTCAGAGTTTGACCATCTCCCGAAGTTTTTTTAAACGTTATGTAATTCTATTACTACTATTATTATATAATTAACCACATCTAGCATCGAATTGTTTGCCAATTTGGAGCTCATTTAAGCCTATATATATGCATTATAATTACAAGTCTAGCTAATTTTGGCCAACATTGATTTCTTTTTTGTTATTTTATTTAGCACACCACAAAGGTAGAATTACACTCTAAAAAAACATCAATTTGGACTTTAATTTAGCAATATTTTAGCATCAACAGTAAGGGCATTCAAAGCTCGGTGCGCGACTCTAGATGGCAACTTAAATGTGTTTGGTTTAGTCATTACGCGCAGTCTGTAATTATTTCGTGTGGTTTTTTCACTGTTCATGAATTTGTTGTTTAATTTGCACCAATAAGCGAGTAGAGAAACTCCGCCCTCCCCGCGCCACACTCCTCCTCTGCTGCGAAGGCAATTAGATAATTACGACAACATTATTAGCAAATTAATTTTGATTTTATGCGGCGGATGCCAAACGCCATAAAGTGGGAAATGGGCGGAGGATTGCGCATTTTGCATTTCGTTCTTTTTGGGGGAAAAGGAAAGGAGAAATCCCCTTGATATTCCTCCCTCCTGTGTTTTGTGCAATTTCAAATTGCGCATTTCTCGTATGTTTCTTGTTAGTTTTGCAGCTGGTGTTGGCTTTTGGCCAAATCATTTGGCAAGGAAATGGGCAAGGATCCGGGTATATGGATATCCTTGGCCCATATCGCAGAGCCAAGATAAATTCTGGGCAATATAAATTAAATAACAGCCCCGAGAGTCCACCTAATGAGCCCCCCGCCCCAAAAGGAACGCCGTAACAAGCCGCTTTCAGTGCACAGTATTCACTTTTTGAGGTTTAAAGCGAAATCAAATTAAATTGAAATAAATACTCAATGGCAATTATTATTTTGGGGCAATCAAAGAATCAAAATACAAAGAAATTGAAGCCATAGGCGGGTCAGAGAATGTGTGTCTGTCTTCGTCAAGTTAAGGCTAAAGCTTGAGAGCCAATAAAAGACATTTTTATGAAATGCCAAGCCACATACGTACGTATGTAGTTGCCTGTAGCCGAGGGCAGCAACAAATTGCATTAGACCCACCTCATATTGTACCCGATTTAAGGCGCACGAATCCCACATGAAACGGCACTTGATGTGCCATCATCCAACTCGCAGACACTGACTCAGACCGACTCCGAGTGTAATTTGCGAAACACTCGCACACAATCGAAACAATGCCGGAGTCCTTGAGCTCGCCAAATATTGTTATGCATAAATTTGATTGCATTTTGATTTCAGTCGGATGCGTTCGAGAGCTCCAACCCAACGATCCAACGATCCAACGCTCCATCCCGCCATCCCGCCTTCCGCCCGAAAGCGATGCAATTTATGATGCTCCAAAAATGATTTCCTCCGCTCCGATTGCGGGAAAAATGAATGGAATGGCATGACTGGGACTGGGTCTGGGTCTGAGTCTGGCCCGGGATGAGCTCAAGTCCGGGCATCAGCGCCATTATTGTGTGCCATAATATTTCAATTCGGATGCCGATTCCGCTCGGCAGCTGCCACAACTCCAGGGCCAGTCCAAGGAGCAAGGGCCTTACAGCTGTTTCATTAATTTGAAATTCGTTTTATAATTAAACCCACATTGAAAGCAGTTCAGCCTTTACCTGAAAATTTATTCTCTCTTCTTTTTTGTTTATTTTTTTCGAGTGATCGAAGTGTATATAATATATACATTCAGCCCCGAGTTTTGGGCGGAAAAACAGTTGCCGTTTTCAGCTATTGCAAATATGCCTCGGGCTTTTTTGGCATCCGGATCCAGGGCTCCCTTCCGCACTTTTGTGTGCCAAAAGGGGCGTGGCAGGCGCAAGGCAGAATGCGAAATGAACAGAAATTATGAGTGCAGAATTTTCTAATTTAATGTGATTATTATTTGCACTATCTGGCGGGGCTCAGGACTCAATTTATTTACAGCCAGCATTTGGGGAGGTGTCATTAGGCAGGCAGAAGGCAAGAAGGACGATGCGAAAGGACCCTAAGGTTATTTAAAGTAAATTTAATAGTTAAAAGGTTCCTTTCAAATGTCCATCATCACAGCTTAGATTGTTTATGTCTTGCAAAATCCTAATGCAGCCCAACGCTGCCCGGCTTCCTGGTGCGACTCGTCATGAGTTGGGGAAAATTCCGCTTGTCAGGCGAAAGATTGGGAGTGGGAAAACAGCCACCCACCGCCCATAGTTAGTCCCCACTGGGGGCCCTGATTGGCACTTCATTTCGGCTGCAGTCGGACTCCCACTCAGTTGCCAGTTATCGCCAGGTAGTCCCAATCAGCAACCTCTCACGTGCACCAACAAAGGCAACAATAAACTTGGCAAACAACTCGGCAGCCAGCAGGGAAAACGTGGGTGTTGGGAAAGCTGGAGGAGAAACTGCGGGAAAGCGGGAAAGTGGGGCTCAGAGTGCGAGTGAAAAGCGGCAGCAGCTCCTTACATATTCAAAAGCAAGGACATCTCATAATTTGCGCTCGTTTCTATCGCCCAGCACGGTGCAATATAAACCAACTTAAAAATTTCACGCAGCGCAAACTTTAAGCTTCGCAGTCTCCCTCAAAAAAAAAAAAAAAAATGAAATAAAAAAAGACTCCTAGAATGCCCTGAAAAACACCACTAAAACCCCCGCAAACCCCCTCCTACAAAAAACATCATCCGGGGAGTAACAAAGTGTCGCCGGAGCAAAGAAAAACAAGCAACGGGAGAAGCTTCGTGGAAAAAACTTGTCAGCGCATCTTTTGGGACACATGAAGCACATGCCGCAGTCCCGATTCGACTGAAGAATTCCCCTAACCCCAGCCCCGGCGTCTTATCTCCTCCCAAGGACCTGCTCTGGCTGCTCCTCCTCATCCAGGCAATCGTCTGAAGGGCGGAATGCTGAACTCGCCATGGTGTCCCTGTTGCCCAGTGATATGTGTGTCTCCCAAAGAACTCAAAAGGCCAAGGTAGGGTTTAAGGCGAGGCACCGAGGTCTAAGATATCCTTACAGGATAATTAAGCATCAGGAAAATACAAAGAAAATCTGAAGGAAATAAAATTTGAATTAGAATTGAATTGGAATAAATATAAGCTAGTTAAAACTACAATTTGGAGATGAAAGTGTAAACACGAAAAATAAAGTATATACCCAAAACAATTTTATTTCGCAAGGATGTCTAGGCTCTTATCTGAACCTTAAAAAAATTTATAGAATATGTATTCAAGGACTCATACCCCCTGGTAGGGTACAAAAACACCAAGTAACTAGAGGAAAATTCCTTCGCCACAATACAGTCAAGTTACGGCGACTTTAGAGACGCCCCGAAAAGAG